TATATATATTGCCTCAGACGCCGTTGAGACGCGCCAGCTGCTTTGAATTTCGTGTGTGGAAGTGACATTTAAACTCAATTTGCTCTAAGACTTGATCTACCTTTCTTTATGAAATCAATCAAAAATATAGTCCGGGTGATTTTTGTGTGACTAGCTTCCGGGCACTTGTGCATACATAACGTCCGGACACCTGTATATTATGTAAATTAGGGTATTTAGGAGTATTTGGATATGTTTATTTAAATTCGTGAATGTCAATACGACAAGCATTACTTTATGAGAGAAATGATGTACGTTTATTTTTTAATAGATGTAAATTATTTAGAATTTAAAAGTATGTGTATTATATCAAGATCGTTGGGCGAATGAGCATGAGCTGCTAGATTTTTTTTCTTCATCTGCAATTGAATGTTCGACAATATCTAGTTGATTAGTCTGGGAGAGCCGTCGCGACGTACTCCGATGCGTCAGAGAGGGGTCCCAGAATTGATTAGCAGATGCGTTACCGCATAGATAGATACACAAGATAATGAAAACATAACCCCAGCTGCAGCACGTGGGCTTCAGGCACGTAACTTCGGATCGTGTGACAATCTGTATTTTACGCAGCGTCTCGACTCGTAGGCAACAATTCGGCTCGTGATTGTTTGGCTACAGTACTCGTAACATCTCGTGAGATAACATCTTTACGATGTGTGGAATGCTGAAGTGGCAGCGACTGTTTAGTCAACGTAGGCAACTTAGAATTTTTGCGAAGAAGTACGCTTTCTTGCAGAACAATCAATAATCAGAATGAGGGTTAACCGAACACCATTTAATAATTATTATATTAATATATATTATAATAATTATTTCATTTCACATTGATCAGATTGAACAATTTTAATTTTGTCAATCTAAAAATTTCTAAATAAATTGTATATTGCCTTACGAGAGCCCAGAAGATGTGTTAAAAAATGAGCGTGGTTTTGAGTCCTGCGTTATTAGAAGGCGGCAGATTTTTATGGCCTAAAACTGCCAAAAATGATCAATAAAATGGTCTTAAAGTGTTTTTAAAGCGCCCTAAAAGCAAAGAAAAATAATGTAAAAATTTGAACTGCTCAGATGAACAACTCAAGCTGTTGGATATGTTACGGACTCCATTTTGTTCTAGTGAACTCAGCATACAAACTTTTGGTTTGGACTGTTCTTCGAAACGGTCCAAAATATCTTTCTTTAGTTTTCCCAAAATCAACCGAACAGACTATGGCGCTGGTAGGCGTCACAGAAATCTTAGAACACTTACAACCGCTGACATTACAATTTCTGAGCGAAGAAATCGAATAGGCTACTCAGGAATTCTGTGGAGAATTTGTTCCTTCTCGTAAATATTATTTGAAATAAAATCGAGGAAATCGACACAAAATGCTTAAAAATGACAGGAAAAGATAATGACTTATAATGTGAAATCTATGAAAAATTTTATATAAAAATGGATCATTTCCTTTTGCCATAACATAAAATTAATGTCTGTGCTAAAAGACATTGTTCTAAAGGGAAAAGGAAAAAATGACATTTCATTAAAATCCGCCCGTTAGATACTATTACGAACCCCCGCTCTCCCGGCTCTACACTAAGTGGACTTTTCTTGCTCCTATACGTAGAACACTTGGGTTACTTGCTCGTATACGTAGTACAGACAGAATCCGGTATGTTTATTGCTTGAGTAAACAAAGTATGGTTATAAAAATGGTGTAGGTGTAATTTTTATTGAACCTCTGAATTTTCGAAAATTGCAAAATTTTAAAATATTTTATACGCCCTCCTACAGCTACACTACGGAAGATAGAGATTTTGCCTTAGTGAAATTTTGTCAAAGTTCCATCTTTTAATAATGACATGTACACTTTTGAAATTATGAATAGTTTTCGCGTAAATGAGTAAAATTTGGGACAATATAAAATATCGTGATTTTGCTCAAAATCCGCTCCAATTGTTTTCTTTAATTTTTTTTATTATTTATTTTTGAATAAAGCAACGCTCTCTTAATAATAGGTCCCATTTTCATTAAAACCTCTGGTAATTCTAAAATTGCACAAATTCAACTTTTTTTTTGCGTTCTGATATTTGGGACATGTTGTACACATTTACTTAGAGGAGCTAGAAATTCCTTTTTAATGCAATCGTTTCCTCAATAGCAGATCTATAAATCATTTATTTCGAAATGTTGGTACTTTCGAATTAATTTGAGTTAAATCATGAGAACTTTGTTAGGTTCCACACTTGCTTGTAAATGCTTTCACTAAGTGACTATAAGGCCGCGTAAAGGTTAGGTGAGTTGGTGAAGTTCTGGCGTAACAATCTGAAGTTTAGGATTCGATTCCCAGGGGGGAAATTTCAGTTCTTATTTTCCCCCTGAAATAGAGAAAAGTATGCCTGTAAATAAATACTTTTCTATCAGTCTTATTTTCATTTTAAAGAAACCTGTGAACTTTCGGAAATGAATTGTTTTGAACTCCTGTGAGATTTCCTCAGTTGAACTCCAATGAGTTTAAAAGCATCGATGATTAGAAACGTATATGATTTTTGGGCGACAAGAGATGCCACTGATGTTAACATTTGTTTTATTGTGACAAAACTGTTTTCCAAACTCATCATTGTGCATTTTCATTAGATTTCTCACCTCTCTAATGTACCTGTCGTTCTAATGTACCTTTACTACAACTTGGAAACAATTTGTTTGCCACAGATATGGTCGAGGTTTACTTGCTCGTCGACAAGCACAATATCTTCGCCAGACAGCTGCTGCCATCACCCTTCAGAGGCATGTCCGCGGATGGCTGTGTCGCGTCAGATACCAGAAGCTGCGTAGTGTTGCTGTTGGTCTCCAACGGCATGGTCGAGGTTTATTGGCCAGGCGCCGTTACCACCTAATGAAGCTCAATCACAGTGTAAGTGGTTTTGCACCGATATAATATGCGTAATGTTATATCTCTAGTTGTGGAAAAAAGTGCAGGTGTGTTTGCACACACTTTTATATGATTACGTGTGTGTGTATGTAAGTGTTTCTCAAAAATGGCTCCAATTTTTTTGATTAAACTTTGTCCTTTGATAATGTAAAGGACGCTCAAGAGAATGGTAAGTCAAATGTTCCTTGAAATTCCTGATTTTTCGAATATTGCAAAAATGCATTTTTGGGGGGTGTCTTGCTACAATTACAATATTAAAGATGTAGATTTTCACTTTTTCACTACTGCTGCTTCTCCTTCTTCCTTTCTTCTTTCCTTCCTTCCTTCCTTCCTTCCTTCCTTCCTTTCTTCCTTCCTTCCTTCCTTCCTTCCTTCCTTCCTTCCTCCTTCTTCCTTCTTTCTTCCTTCCTTCTTTCTTCCTTCCTTCTTTCTTCCTTCCTTCTTTCTTCCTTCTTTTTCTTTCATCCTTCCTTCTTCTTTCCTTTCTTTCTTCTTTCTTTCTTTCTTCTTCCTTCCTCCTTCCTTCCTTCCTTCCTTCCTTCCTTCTTCTTTTTCCTTCCTTCCTCCTTCTTTTTCCTTCCTTCCTTCCTCCTTCTTCTTCTTCCATTCATAAGGGTAAGAAAGTAAAAATTTGAGTTTAAATTAAGTCCTTTTTTAAATAATAAAACAAATTTACATGAAATACATTTTTTATTTTAAAAAGTAAATGATTTTTAGAAACCCTACACAACAGATTTCAAAATAAATAAATTAAAAGCGTATGCCTACTGTATTTTTCAACAAAACCAGGCTGTATGTAGTGTATTTACAATATTTCTCTTTTTGTCTTTATGAATGGAATACGACTTAGTACAGTCTTTATTCCAAGTACAATGTACCTTAATGACTTTTTCATTCAATATGTTGTGTGTATGAAGGCACTAGTTGGAACCCCAGGTTTTGACCTCATAGGCCCTGTGCTAACTCTGGGCGAGGGATACATTAGAGAAAAAATGAAAGTAGTAAAAATACTCAAATGAAATACAATATACAAGATGGAATTAATACAATGGAATAATTATACAAGCTTTGACAAAAAGCTAGTCTTGATATTTCTTATTCGTATTCATAATTGTTTACAACATAGTAGTAAAGTGTTCGAAACCTTCTTTCTCTTGAACAAAATTTTGATTAATGATGGGAACTTTATACCCAGCATCATCAGTTTCAAGTGAGTTACCACATGTGTGCTCAGGCCTGCTTGCATGCAGCAGAGGATTTTCATTCCAGATGTTCTGCACGTTTTTCCTTTCCTGTTCCTGTAGCTCCTGTTTATCCTTTAATTACATGGATGTATATAAATGTTCTGACTGCATTTCATATTATTTTATGTGTTAGGTGACTGTCTGGCTAGGTGAAACTTAAATTTTATCGCCTATTATGAAAATATTTGGTATCGGAGATCATTCACTGTTTACATTCTCATCATCTTTCTACTATAGAAAATGACAAAAATATTTCTCCTGCTTCAGTAATATTCAGTTCTGCTGTAGTTTATGTCTGATTGCAGGGATTATTCCAGACAAATCTTGTCATTTCTGATTAGCACTGCAGACTTTTTCCTTCCCTTCTCCAGAGTAGGTGAATATATCGCACCCATTAAAAGTATGAAGGAAAAGAATATCTTCTGGGTAATATTTAAATAATTTTAAAGAATGTAACTTTCCCTTCATCTTCTTCCAATATATTTTGTTGTATTAAGAAGCTACTGCTGTAAGCAAGATACATTACTTCACTTAAAAGATTGTAGTTATTATTATTATTGAGTCACATATACAATTACAATCTTGTATGACGAGTCAATATGATGTCTGGGGTGGAGAGAGTGAAGTTATATTACTGTTCAGGAATGAAACAGGGCCATCTCAGCATTTGCTCAATGGGGAACTGAACAAAAACCTGATCGAGTTGTATATTGCAATGTTTATTATGTCTTTTTGATAAATTTGAACAGTAAATTGCTCCAGTCTTTTCAGTGATTGTTGTTTGGTGTTTTTTGTTGATTATGAATTTTTATATTCTCAAAACTTTTCTTTTTCTCAACAATCTCGCATTCTCCAAAATTCTTTTGCCATTTAAAACACTGTTCCTCTATGAAGGTTATATTACAGCACTACACTTCGGAACTAATGTTCCGATATCTACCTTAGGGCAGTAATATAGTTAAATGAAATAAAATTTTATTTTGTTAAATGAATAGATTTTTCAATATACACAAAATTCAATAAATATGTTCTGAATATTAAGGAAATACAAAATTGATACTGAATATTAAAAATATTTTAATTCAATACTGTCTTGCTTCTTAAAATGTGACTCCCAACACCATAGTTCGTTTATCCAATATATGTGTTTGTGTGTGTGTATGTGTGTGTATGTATGTGTATGTGTGTATGTATGTATGTGTATGTATATAGACACACACACTCGCTTTTTTTTCCCGTGTATGTACATTTTTATTTAAATATGTTAAAATTATACTTCATAGAGTAATGCTGCACAATTATAAGTATGAGGTTATATTCTTTTTGTAGGCAATTGTTATACAACGTCATATTCGAGGATGGTTGGCCCGGAGAAGATATCAGAAAAAGCGTCGTCATATTGTCTTGGTGCAATGCGTGGTGCGTCGCTGGTTAGCACGCCGTGTATTGCGTCGACTTAAAGCGGAAGCCAGATCAATGGAACACATCAAGAAACTTAACAAAGGATTGGAAAATAAAATCATTTCCTTGCAACAAAGGATAGATGAATTGGTAAGTTGTAACATTTTTGTTTTCTGTTTTCTGGGACTGATTAATGAAGATATTGTGAGAAATGAATGGATTTTCTTTCTGATAATTTTAAAACTCTTTGCAAATGGAATATATTGTTCAGTTATTCAACTAATTGTAATTTTTGAAGGTTCTCTTTGAACTTCTAGAACATTTGAAACCAGTTCACACTTGCAAGGATTAGGAAGTTAATAGAGCAAATCAGATACATAGGCATTTATAGGTTTTAATAAATACAATAGCAGGAAGTAGACAAAATTATTCATGCAGTATACTATGCTAAATACCTTGGTATTAAATTGCATAGTCTTTTTATGATATTTCTTAAGTGTAGGCATATTTTTTAACATCCAAACTTTAGTGATCATAATCATTTGGTGTTTCAATAGATTTGATTTAAAGTTTTTGCTTGATACAATTTGTAGTTCTTTTTGTTTAAAAAAATAATCAGGAAAACAATAATATCTTATTTTCCTTTTCATAAACTTTTCAGTGCATTTCTGCATTAATTCACTTTAAGTAGCAGGAGAAGAGGGTAAAATCAATCAGTGAGACTAAAGTTGATCGCTTAACAGTTCCTTAGAATTTTACTTATTACTGTTACAAATGACAATAGATAAGTCCATGTGTACAATATTTCAGTATGTTGATAACCCTGAACATAATTTTTTTGCCAAACCTTCACTGCATGTCATTGTTTGATTTATTGCTACTAATTAAAACAAACACTAAGATAACTGATTGCTTGTAGTTGCATGCAATAAAAATAAATATGGTTGCAAAAATGAAAATTTTAACTTTGATGAGAGTTAATGCACATTTTACATGAAATGTATTTATTTTGTGGAGAAAATTGCGTGTTTCTGATACTTGTATTGGGAATAGTTAATTGCTGTAACTATATTTAGTTTAATCATAATTGTGGAAATAATTACTTAGAACTTGTATATATTTTCAGACAAAAGAAAATGGCTCCCTAAAACTGTTGCAATCGGAGAATGTAGAATTGCGGTCAAAAGTAGAATCTCTGGCTGCTACAGAAGTGGAATGGAAGAAAGCTACAATTCTTGTTAATGAACAAAGAGCTAAATTGGATCTTCTCGAGAAGGAATTACATCAAGAACGGGATGAAAAGGTTTGGCAGTTTTTATTATATTACAAATTGTTTTGTATTTTACAAATTCAAAATGTTAGGTGTTGTTAAAAATCATAATTTGAATTCATATTTTAAATTATTTTAAATAATAGTATTTTAAATTCAATCGTTTTGTTGTTAAATTACATGCTCTGAACATCGTAGTTATTTACATGTACAAATTTCTTTTAGATGGATCTAATAAATGAGAAAGATCGTTTAGAAGCTGAGAAAAAAGAAGAAGTTGAAAAATTGAATGTAGAGAATTTAACATTAAAAGAGCAGAGAGACAAACTTAATGAGGAAATACTGATTAGCCGTGCTGGTGCAGAAGGTACATTATTTTTTCCTTCTCTTTGTCAGTGTTTTTATTTCTTATTCTCTCCCTCCCACACATTTTTCCTCATTTCTTCCATCTCCAAAAACATTATGTAGTAAAACTTTTATTATGTGCTCACTATTGGTTAGTGAGAAAACTGACCATTAGTGTAGGAGGCCACTTAATAAAGGTTTTGAGAATATGGGAAGAGAAGATTTGGAAAATTATGCTATTCGTAATAAGATTAAGTATGGTTTGCTTATTAATACCTTTTAATTTCAATTAAATGACAAAATATTGGAAGCTTTTCTGCATGTGTGCAACAAAGCATGTGTAATGTGGAAAATCAATTAATTCCACTTTTTGCTCACTTTTTCACATTACTGTTAATCTCGTCCCTTTTCTGAACTTGATTACCACCTTAATTATGCAATTTGTGTTACGAGGAATCTTCAGGCAAGGCAAGAAAATCATCTATTACTATGTGAAACAAATAAATTATTTTTTGAGAAAAAAATTTAGGAATCGTTGTTCTAAGCAATCTTAGTCACGATGACAGAAAGATATTGAATGAATAGTAATCTCAAGAGTTCTTCTTCTTTAGAGTTATGATTTAAATTGTGAGGGTGATTTAAATTGCCTAATAAAGGTAATGTATAAAATATGTGAGGCCGCTAAAAGAGGGGCTTACGGAAAATCAGTTTTAGCAGGTTTCACTGCATTTAGATTCACAAATACATGTAATTAATTTTTTAATTCAGTAACCCACTTTTCCAAATTGTATGGCTATTGTAAACTAATTTAAAAACTTGATTTGATTCATGATAATCAGTCTTGTTACATCATAATAAGTTATCTTGGTACTTGAAATTATCATATACTGACAGAAAATTTGTGATATTTCAGAATTACTCAAAGAGCGCTTACAAAAAGAAAAGGCTTTGCTTGAACGTGAACAAGACCAAGACCGAAATGCCTATCAGAAGCTCTTAGCTGATTATCATCTCTTGGAAACCAGAGCTGAAACAGCTGAGCGTGAGCTTGCCCAGGAACGTCGAGCAGCTCGGCGTTTGCCAGCTCGCTCTGGTGGGGCTTCTGGTGGACATCAACGATCTCTTTCAAATGCTAGTACAGCTTCAGCTCAAGACTTGGAAAATGTTAGTGCTCTTTCTGAACAAACTGAAGATGTAAGTATTTATTGTTCAGTAGACTCCTATGATTTTGTTCCCATGAGGCTTTACCAGGCTCTAATATATTACTTACGACATGATTCATAGCTATTCAGTTAAAGTTCATTAAAATAATCATTGAAATTATTTCAGTAAGATTTTTTTATCATATGTTGAATCCACTTACATTTTATCATGTGGTAAATCAACTCATGTGTTGAATCACACCTCAGTATTATCACCATTTCATACCAGTCATAAAATAAAACTCTTTTTTAAGCAAATTGCTGGCACCCAACATGTACTCGTAAAGTCAAAGTGCCAGTGCAAGCACTGTTTTTTACCAGGGTGGGTACAGACACAAGCTGCACCCACACGGGTTTGCACTCGTAGTATATATGTATGTATGTATGTATGTACAGAACTTCCACATCTACTGAGCTTTCAAAGATGCTTGTTACCTAAAGCTTTCATGATATAATTAACCACAGTTTCTGTTATTTACACTATCCATCCCCCCCCCCCTCATTTTCACCCCTCTTTTTCCCTCATTCATATTTGGTAGTTAGTGTCTTTCTTCTTTACCTGTATAATTTTGGACTGTACAATACAATTTAAAGTTGGTATTTCTTTTGCTTGTAGTCTATTCTTGTTATGTCTGATTCCTTGTTACATTTCATTTCATAAACCGGTATTGTAAAATGAATATATGTAGGTAGCAATAATGTCAATATTACCTTTCTCTTCAGGATTATGGTTATGGTTCTGTGCGCTCCACCATAAGTACTTCATCCGGTACTAGTGGTGTCAATCACATAAGTGGAAGACCAGCTATTGAAAATATTGATTGGACTGCTGGAACTAGAGTCTCTCAGAGTGCAGTGCAGGCACCTGCATCTGGTTCTGACACTACAAGCCCAGAGGTATCCACTCCTGCATCAGGAGGTGGTCCCGCTGTTGAAGGAGTTGGTCTGGTGCTGAAGCTGCAGCAAAAAGTGAAAGAGTTAGAGAAAGAAAATGACAGACTGCGACGTAGAGTAGAGTCTCTTGAGAAAGAGGATTCTCCCAGTGATGACTTGACGAGAGCCCGAGACTCATTCAGGGTAAGTGTGATTTTCTTCAATTTCTTTATGAAAACACTCAGTATTTTTCTTTTTTAGGGCTTGTACGGGTGTATTTTTCCCTAATGATTATGCACTCTTTATTTATACAGATTATTGCCTTTACTAAATTCCTGAGTTTAAAATATTGTGTTTGATATTTTGATTTTGATGAACATTAATAATAACAATAATAATAAAAAAAATATATACTCATCATTTAAGAAAATATTGCACTTCTCTAATATTGAATTTGGAACCAATTCTTCTATTGTAAAAACCTAGATACAGTATTTTGAAAAATTCTTTTTTTTTTTCTTTTTTTTTTTTCCTTCTCTATTATAATGTTTTTTATACTCTTTTATAGTTAAACCTTTTAACTTCAATACTTGGGCTTTTTCAATATTTTATGAAGTAGCAGTAAATGTAGATATCCTTTGTATATTTGATATTCATTAAGGAATTTAATTTTGATATGGTTACATGACTGCTGGGAATCATATAATTCTTCCACAAAATTTGTTTACAGTATATTGTAAAAATTTAAACCAAATTTTTTTTTTTTAATTTTTTAAAATGTTTTTAATATCTTCAATGAAGATTTCGATTCTTCCAGCTTAAGAGTACATAAGACTTCAACAAAAATTCTAATCATGTTAGTCAAATTGGCCATCCTGAAGCAACTCTAACTCCCATGGATCTTGTGGTGGGTGTGGGATAATGGGTGTCCTATGTGACCATCAGATAATGCAAAAGAATCGTGAAGTTAGAAACCAGCTTTGTGTAAAACTGATATTGATGGGGAATTTTTTTACTTGTCAAATAGTTATTTGATGTTATTTCAAGTTATTTCAGGAAAGAATGAGACCTTTCAGTATGTGAATACTCTTCCTGATTTGGTTAAATAATGCTTGCTCATACAAATTTGTATGAAAATTATTAGAGCGATTATTACCAGAAAAAAATAATAAATGATATGCCATATGTAATATTGTTATTAGACAGGCCTGAAACAAGGCAGAAAAAGCACTTTCATTAATTTCTTTCTCATCACATTTTGGACTTGCAAATTCGTCCCTCTAATTAACAGAACTCGATTACATCTGTTAAGAGTTGTCTGAACCATTCAAAGTGAAATAACCATTTTCAATGAAGTCAATCCTGTCCTTTCTTCAATTAATTTGAACTATACAAGAAATAATTAAGATCTCTGGTATGATGTAATTTTGTAAGGAGTTTCATATATACCCTATGAGCTCATGAGGTGACTATTGTGTGTTCTTTCCCCTTTCTGCTGCAAGCAGAACCCTATGCTCCTGCAGGTAAGCTGTGTTCTTATTGGTGGATTTACCCTTATAGTCCTGCACTTGCATGCTTAGGGTCCTAAATTTCCAAAACTTCTCATTATTATCAGTGATGAAATGGAAAGATAATGTTCATAAGTAAGAGATTTTTTCTACCTCTCTTTCCTCTTGCTTTCCCTCTCTCCTCTTGCTTTCCCTCGCTTCTCTTTGTGCTGTCTGCTCCTCCCAACCCTCCTCCTGCTGCTCACTTTCCGACACCTCTCATCCCTTCACACTCCTTTGCTCCACCTCACTCCCATCCCATCACACCCCTGTACTCCACCTCACTCCCATCCCATCACACCCCTGTACTCCACCTCGCTTACCTTCACTCCACCTCACATACCATCTCTCATCCTTTCGTGTAACCTGACATAATGTCTCATATCCCTTACTCCCCTTCACACACCCCTGAAACCACCTCATGCCCCTTAACACTCCCCCCTCACACACAATGTTCCCCTCAAACTCCTAATCCCACACACACATCTTGCTTACCCGTGCTCCCTCTCTCTCACTTCTCTATCCATATTACCCTCACTCACTCATCCTGTCATGGCCAAATGAATAGTTTTAATTTTTCCACTGCTTCAACCTTTATGCAAAATTGTTCTAAAAAAATGAGAAGTTTTGTGTTTCCTTATGTAACAATCATAGTTTACCATTCTTTTTCAGACCATTGTAGTTGGGCATCTTTCTTTATGTATTTTCTTTCCTAAATTAGAATACTCTTTTCAATTTTCTTTTCTTTTTGTGAGACTTGCTAAGACAGTTACAGTCGCTTATTGTGAGTAGAGGTGACTTTTTACAAGTTATAAGAATTTGAAAGTAGTGAAATGCAGATAGGAGAAATGGTAGAACCCAAAACATACATCTATCTACTATTTCTCCTGAATTACTCTTCTTTCTTTTGAAACACTTTTGTCTGTGTAATGTCAAATATATTTAACACTTAATCTATTACCAGTTTTCTTCGGACTCTGTGTCTACTCCTAGTTCTTTAGTCTTTGCTCTGTCCTGTATATAAATAGTCACTGTGCTCATAATTTTTAAATGTATTTTGACTTTTTGTCCACGCTGTTCATTTGATGTTATGGAATGAAATAAGAAACTCCAGAGATAAATGTAAATTGTTGGGTGAAAAAAATTTGTGACAAGTATGGTAAAGTAAACTTTGTTGGCCACATTAACCCATTAATGCCCAAAACTTTTACTTTTTCTTATCCTAATAGGAGGGAGGGGACTGCTCCCCCCTGCCTCCAACAACAACAACTGAACTGAGTGTAGGAGGGGAACTGTAAAACATGCAAAGTTTAATCAAGTAAAATTTCCATACAACACCATCAATCTTTGTGAAAGGTTTTCAAACAATAAAGTGAAATTAAAAATGAGTGATGTTTCCCAAGTTATCTGGGATATCACAGTTGAAATAATGTGGTGTATAAAGAAAGTTACAAAACATAGCCAAAAAAATCAGTGTTGCCATTTTGAAGGTAGCATCAGTACTGAAAATTGTTATCACAAATGTCTGTGTCTGTTTATCCATCTGTCTGTCATGTTACACTCATGTCATATCATTATTTGTGCATTAATCAAATTTGTCACTATAATTTGTCAACATTCTCTGTTATTAACTTTTCTTCAATTTGAATATTTCAGGAATATCAACTTTACATTTGGCATTTTCACTCTAGGTAGTGACTGATCTTGTGCAATAAATTTATAATGAAATGAAAAGAAGTGAGATAAAGAATTATTTTAAATTTTCGTTGGCAGTGTTTGGAAGTCCCCAACAAGTGTTTTTTTCATTACTCATTCAGTTACTTGGTTATGAAATTATTTTTCAGAATAGTCATAATAATTTATAAAATTCTGAATGAACTAATATTAGTAATGTTGAAGTCAAAAAGTGTCTCTTATATCACTTTACCGCTTGAAAATCTTTCTCAAAGATTGATGGTGCTGTATGGAAATTGTGCTTGTAGTATATTTTGCATGTGTTAGTTCCCCTCCTCCACTCAGTTTAGTATTGTAGGGTGCAGGGGGGAGCAGGAGCAGCCCCCTCCCTGTGACCCTCAGAAGTGCAGGGGCTCAGGGTATGATCCTGAGAGTATTTCAAGGCGGGGGTGGATTTCAGCTTAGACACACCCTCCATGAATATTTTTTAAATTATGAAAAATATGGAATATAAGTTGAGCAAATGTGTTATATAAATAAAATTAAATTGAGAAAAAAGATTTCACAAATTTCTTCCTTTTGTGCAGTATTTTCTTCCTTAGTTCTTATCTTCTATAGTCATTGTCTCATTTGTCGTACATTGTACAATTGTCATCTGGTTCTTGACTACTGAGTAGCTGGTTCTTCATTAGTTTCATCTTTAGTTGTTGAGAATATCTGCTATAAGAAGTTGCAATTTGAGTTATTAGGTACAGTGGTATCCCATTTAATGATCATTGGCAGCTTTGACAAAAATTGCTGAGAGGTTGCTTCTCAGTGTTTCTTTAGTGTGTTATGAAATAAGATATGTTTAAAAAACTAGCAAATGTGGTAAAAGAAGAAAGATTTAAAAATGAGTGATTTTTTTTTCCCTAAGTTATCTGAGATATTACAGTGAAACAGTTTAAAAATTTGGAAAACTATTTTCACAAATAATTTATTTTATATTATTTTATTATATTTATGAAACACACATTCTGCAAAAATATGTGTCTGTCACAGACACTACCAATTATCTGACTGTCTGTTGTATTTGTAAATAAATTTAAAAAGACCAAAATAATATTACAAAAACCCATTACCAGTGTTAGTTTGTTTTTTTAATATGAAATTCGGTACCCCTCCTCTCCCCTTCACCCCCCACCCCGGGGTATCACTCACGCCTAGCGCTGCCACTGAAACAAAGTAAAGTTCCTCAAAAATTCAAAGTATCTGAGACAGTATCTGGGAAGACGGATCATATGCAGTCTGCCCGATGCCTAAGTAAAGTATTCAGAAAAGCTCTCAGCAAGAGGGTGTGATTTTTACAAGATGTCAGAAGATTTTGTAGTTTCTCAAACTTAATAAATGCAAAGATTTCCATATTTAGTGAAAGTAATATGATTTTCAGAGTTTTGTCAAATTCTGTTCACTTCAAAGGAGTTGATGAGAACAAAAACCTGTTCAGTCAAAAGTGAGGGTATGAATTTTACTTTATGGGTGTTGAATCAAATATATTAAGTGTTGCAATTTGGAGTTCTGTTGAATATCAATTTGTAAAATAGTTTCACTCCTGTTTTGCTATATATTACATCATTAGCCATTCTTTAAAAGTTCTTCTTATTATTATGAATATACTATGCAAAATTTGTATATAAACTTAGCCAGAAGGTGAAACTCTTCTTCTGCAACTTTTAAAAACTTCTTTGTTTTTATTGGTTCAAGCTATTAAACTTTTACTGTGTAGTACTATAAACTCATATGGAAGCATTGAATTCTTTCGTAGCTATTGTTATTCCTTGTTTGTTACCGTTTGAATATTTGTATACCATTGGACAGTTTATTTGACTTGCAAGCTGCGTTAAAATAATCCAGAACTGCTGGGAAGTTTGTGTAGATGTTGTAGATTACTTCCAGTTTCTGTTGTTGAGACTTCAATTATGTGATACTCTGATTTTCACACATCTTGTGCATAGACCTTGTGTTTGAGCTATTAAACTTTTAGGAACTGTAGTTCTTTTAAATCTTCAGTCATTGGAATTATTTACATAAACAATAGCAAACCACTGCTCTCAATCCCATAAAAAGGTAGAAATGGAAAACATTTCATTATTATGAACTTGTGTTTATAGGTTCAGGAGTTGGAAATGGAAAATGAGAAATTGAAATCAAACATTGCCACGTTACGCATTGCTGCTGCAGAAGGTTCTGGAAGCCAAGAATTATTAAGTAAGTCCATCCAAAATGCTTACCTTAGTGTTAGTTGTGTGGAAATAAATATCTGATGTTCAAGCTTACTAGCATTGATTTATTGATAAACTAGTCACACGCTTCTAAAGGTTTAATGCTGCAAGAATCATATGAACTCCTCAATTTTGATAATATTGTACATTACTGAGCATTATCATAGTTTTTGTGTGTGGTTGTAAATGCTTTCCATTTCATAGATATCATTTCCTTTTTCTGCAAAATGAACTTTAAAAAGTACTTTTTTAATGTTTTCCCAAAGAGATAGCCTTCTATCATACTATTTAGTAAATCAAATTAATGATTTGAATGTTCTTGATCATTGTTTGCACATTGATGCATTGTTTTCACATTGAGGTTGTTAATTCTTGTGTAACTTATTCGGATTATTACTATGTGTTTAAATATTTTTCTACATAAAACTTATTTCAGAAATGTATATCAATAATCCTTGCTTATTATAGATCATAGAATTGTAACTATTTATTATAGATAATACCACAAGTGCTCTGGAAATAATCAATAAATAACCCTGTACTAGAAAGAGGGTTTAACTGAGAATTTCAAAACTACAAGTAGTATTTAATACAATGAATTAATTGATGAATACAGACATTAGTAAACTCAAGTGGAATGAGTTTAGACATTAATAAATGCAATGGAATGACAACAATGATGTTGAAAAATATTAATCAGTTATTTCAACACTAGTCAATACACTATGCCTAGTACATGTACTAATTAAATCTATTGGTAGTTTAATGTTATAGCTGTATGAAAATTATGCAAGATAAAAAATAAAATTTTAAGTGCTGTAGAAGCTCCAAAATTCTGACATCATTTTAGAAACTCCTTTTGCTATTTTTCACTTTTGTCATGACTGATTCAGTTGTATGGCAAATAAATAATTGTGAAATTAAACTAACATTAGGTTAGGCTAGATTACTTCACAAAGTAGGGTTACTTGAGTTTTGAAATAACAACAGATGTGCAGCATTGTGATTTAGTCATAAGCAAATTCAATAATATTTTTTTGCTCTTGGATTGGTTGAAGTTTAAGTGAATACATATTACTCATGACAAACATTTCAGTTAAGTAGTCAAATTATATTCAATTTTTTTTATTTTATATTGCAGTGCAATTTCTATACTATAATATTGCTTAAATGTTGCTGGTGATATGTAGAATTACCATTTCAGGTCAATTCCAAGCACTTCAAGCTGAACATGAACGACAAAGAGAGGAGTGTGTTCAGTTGCGATCAGTTCTAGCATCTCACACTCAAGGACTTAAAAATGTTGCTACAAATAATTATAGCAGTCATGTCGATATAATCAATGAAGATGGAGAATTGGTACTAGCATTTGAAGCTCAGAAGAAGGTTACCAGGTGAAGGAAGTTAAAGAAAAAAATTGATAATAACTTCAGGATTTTTTTGTACTGTTTGTAGAGATGTTTGCCTTTATGTTCTAGACAACTAGAAAAAGAATTGCAAGATGAACAGATTCGACATGTTGAATTGCAACGTGATTTTGAGTGCTTGCGTGAGGATTATGTTAAGCAACGGAAACTTGTTTCTGCTAACTTAACCCGTAGTCCCCAGAGCCAAACAGAAGCAGTCATGCAGCATGAAATTCAACGTCTCACATCAGAAAATTTGGTGAGAAGTTTGTTGAGGCTGTGAATAATTTGTGTATCTTTAGAAAATGGATATAATAAAACACATTATATTATCTTCTGTAAATTTTATTGTAAATCTGGAATTGAGAGAATCAATTAATAAGAAAAAAAGTAAAAAGGAAGTAAAATAATAAGAAGTCAAAGTATAGAAGAAATTAATGTTAAATTTAATAGTCCTCACCTTTTTTCTTTGCAGGATCTTCAAGAGAGATATGATGATGTGTCTGACCAGTACCGCAAAGCAAAGAAGCAGGTGAAATTACTTACAAAGAAACTAAATGAAGCTGGAAGTGAGTTATTCATACTAAAATATTACACAACTTATTAAATTTTAAAGATTACTCAAATGCTTGGTGATCCATACTTATGACTTCTCAAAATGGTGCAAGTTGCTATTAAAAAATTTCCATCTTTTTGATTAATTGCAGTAATGGAACCTTTGGGAGAATCAACTCTTGTTGCATCTGATGGCACTGGTACAGCACAGCATGCTTCTGGAATCTCTCCTGCACATAGAGTTGCTTCTACTCGTGGCAACACTTCTGGGCATCCTGAAGGTCGGCCAAATCTTGTCCAACGCAAAAAAGAAAGGGATTATCTGGGCATGTTTGAGTATAGAAAAGATGATGAAGCTGTTATTGTAAAACACTTAATACATGGTAAGTTTATTTCATTGTGTGTCTTGTTAAAACTCGGTGATTATTTTTGAGGGACATAGAGAAAAACATTATTTGAAAAAATTCCAACTTGGAAATTGTGAGCTCTTTGTGAAATGCTGTTTTCTATAGATTTCTATCTCAGAGTAGTAAAGTATATAATCAACCTTATATTTTGCAATTTATTGGTCTGTTGTTTGGTGATCATCTCACCTTGATGTAATAGGTCTAGATCAACTCCATTTTTATGTGTGTGTTTGTCTAAAATTAGGTAGTTTTGGTAATTTGGATAATTATAGCAACCTGATGACATGAATGTCAACAAAACATAGATTAAAAAAAAGAAAAGAAAAGAAAAAGAAAAGTGAACTTGAAAATATGATATGAAATTTTATAATATGTGAAAAGTGCAAATATTAATATATTATAAACCAACATTAATGTGCATTTTGTGATTCCTTTTTTATGGAAGATTACACAGAATTACTTTCATTTTATTATCCATATGACGTTTTTCTTTTAACATATACTACATGAAAGATTATTAGTAATTTAGGTGTAGAGCATGCTTTGTGTGACAAGTAGAAGCGAGAGAATGTCAGAGAATTAAAATTAAAAGGAAGTTTGTCAGACATGGTATTACAAATTATATTTTAACAGAGTTACAACATGAACATTCTTGAAAATTTTGAAAATTTTGACTTGCAATACCATCTTATTATGAATGTGGACAATTTCTATTGTCATAAATTGCTTATTTAATTCTACACAAATTCTCATTAATCATTGTTATAGAAAATAATTTTTAAATTTCAGATCTCAAACCCCGGGTAGCAATTACGCTTCTGCCTGGTTTGCCTGCATACATCTTATTTATGTGTATTCGATACACTGATCATGTTAATGATGATGAGAAAGTTAGATCTTTACTAACTGCTACTATTAACACCGTAAAGAAGGTAAATATAAAAACTATCAGTAAGGGTCCTTCGACAATTAAAGATTAAAAAATTAGTAACTTTTACCCTCTCCTCCCTGTGTACAATTTTGAAACAAAAATAATTTATCTCTTGAGTGCATTTACACTATGAAACGTTATTGTCAGAATTACAGGAATGTAATATCAGTTGAATAACTATTAAATAGTGTATGAAGAGAAATAAATATATAACCTTTTACACACATTTTCTTTCAATACAGCAAGATTTGATTTTTAGACCTTTTCATGACTATTCCATCAAAATGTTTTAAATGAGACCCTTGGTTGCTTTTTTGTAGTGTTCATACAATTTTCAGTTACTCCTCTTTTCCCTTCATTGTAACTTTTTGGAACATAATAGCTATAGGTACCAAGAAATACTTAAATGACCCCAACAACACAGCATATAAATTACCATTTTACTAGATGTCACACTGGAATGAATTTCAATGAATTATATTGGCTTAATTGTATAAAAGACTTCCAAGGTTTGCTTCAAGTATTTAATTGCACATTATTACAGATGTTGATGTCTCTTTCATTTATTATTTTGTAACTAATATAATAATTTTCTAAAAATGGACATTGATAGTTTTATGTCGACAACTGAAGCAATGTTATTTGCTTTATCTTTCAGGTGATAAAAAAAAGACATGAAGATCTAGATTCTACTGTTTTGTGGCTTTCGAACATATTAAGGCTTTTGCACAACCTTAAACAATACTCAGGAGACAAAGCTTTTCAAGCGGAGAATACCCCAAAACAAAATGAACAGTGTCTGCGTAACTTTGATTTAGCAGAATATCGACAAGTGCTGTCAGATATTGTTGTGTGGATTTATCAGGTATGAACTTTAAATGACATAGTATAAACTTAAGCTCTCTCAGTAGATAATCCATATCAGAATTTTGATGACCTAAAAATATTGTTCATAGTATGCAAATTTCAAAAGTCAACATACACTAATCGAAAGGCACAGTAGGAGAAGGGATAATCTCACTATGGCCATGTTAACAATTGTTATGATTTTGTTTTACAAAGACGTCCTTATATGTCTGGTGAGCCTGTAAATGAGATATATCTCATACTTTCTTTTGGACAAGTATTAATCTATTCATGTTAAATTGTTATGTTCTACCCCATATCTGAATTGTATAGTGTGCCAGGAAAGTCTCTCTGCACCAACCCGAATCAAGGCCTCTTATTACAAATTAGTAATGGTCGTAGCAAACAGACCACTGGGAAACAAGTGAAGGAGACTACACTTCCAGCATTATGATTGTGGTGAATACACAATTTGTATTCTATTGTTACAAGCTGCAATTCGTGCTACCAACAAAATTTCAGTTGCTAGCCTTCTCATCAGCTACTGGTGCCACTGCTAAGAGACTTTCCTGGCAAACTATACATTGTAGAGGAGAATGAATAATTATATAGTATAGTGTGAGAAGAATATTAGACAAGAGACATTTAGTGATATATCTCAGCAAAATTATGTTTGTATTTTAATTTACTGTATAAGTATTTAATGTTCTTGTCGAGTGTCAAGTTCTGATCAATGTATAACAATATTATGGGAACCCCAGTCATTAGTGTAATAGAGTGAACTTGGATTATACTGGATGATTTTTAGTTCATAAGAACCCTATTACAGTATATCTAATTGCAAGATCTACATAGTTCAACATGAATTTACAAAAGCTTGATACTATTATATGAGAGGAACATGAAATAATTATGTAAAATAATTGCAGAAGGCTTTTCATAATCTCTTTTTGTTTGCTTTGGTTGGTTGTTGTTGAAGAAGACCCTGTTCAATACATCCTCAAATTAGAGCATAGCGTACAGAACTCAACTGCTTTGCTTCATTTTGTTAACCCTTTTTATTCTGTCAAGCTTGTCTGCAAGATGTCTCCTTGTTGGCAAGAAGAGTTTAATTAGCAAAGCACAAGTTGTTAATATTTTCCCACCAATTGATTTTCTTGCATCATATCAGTAGTGCTTCTCCAATGTATTTGCCATAGATTTTGAACATCTGTGGGGTCAAGGTGCAGCCTTATCTTAATTAAAATTCATTGAAGGCTTCTAATTTGACCAATCTGCTTCAAAAGCTACATTCTTGTCATAGTCTTATAAGTTCAAGAATCATATGTATTTAACATCAATTTCAGCAAGAATCTTCCAGATTGCCTCGTACAGTCTTTACATCAGACGCATGTTAAGATAGCAGTACAAAACTCCTAAGTCCTCTCAATAATCAGTCTCAAGTTTATTATTAGTTTCAGAGTTCCTTTTCCAAGATTAAAGCATGCTTACTTAGTACATTGCTTAGGTTGTACAAATACATTCATTTCTTCGTTTAGAATATGTGGTAAGATATTACTTACTTGTGAAATAACATAGTAGTTGGATCAGTCTCTGACTGCCTTTTTGAATTGTTGGTACAAAGATCGAGTATGTCCAGTCTTTTTGCTCTTTTGTAGTGCTCCATTTGCCATTGGATATATAATGGAACATACTTCATTGCCTATCTTGCTATATTCCCCTAAGATCTTATCAGTTCCTGTATTTTGTTAGTTTTCGGACAATTAATGATTTCTTAAACTTCACTGCGCAAAACCAGTTTCTAAATGAATTCAAAATTAGCTGCAAAGGATACTCTTATTGTTTTGTGTATTAATGTAATGTATATTTTAATCAATATTTAGCTTATTAATTTTTAATTAACTTGCTAATTATATTAATTATTAGTTACATATTAGTTTCCTAGCTAGTTTGATTGATTTCTATATCATTATGATCAGGTTTTCCTTTTTGTGCTTCTGCCCATCTCCTTATCTGTATGCAATATATCTGTATCTAAGGATTCCAAGGCACCCTGCAGCTACCACCACATTGTTGGATTGCCCTACCCACTTTGGACTCACTTTTCCACTTTCACTTTACTCTGAGGGGGATTGAATGTCTGTTATGGTGTATGTACACACTTATCTTACGTAAGGTAGCCCTAAGTGCTTGTACCCTTTTACATGCTTAGGGAGCCATTTCCCTCAATTGCACCATCCCACCATCCTTAGATCCATTGTAGCGAGTACACCGTTTTACTGGATAAGACCCCACAGATATGGAAGGAATCAGGTTTTGGAGGTGATACACTAGGGACCGGGAAAGCCCCATGCCAGAAACACTGGTAAAAACATTCATTCCTTACACGAGATACGAGCCCACAGCCCTTTGTGTCCATGTACGTGATGTCACCTGCCCCAAATTATATAACTTATTAATTAGTATTACTATTTAATTTAATCCAAAGAATGATGAAAAGTTGCAATCTATCAACTATAAATGATATAATAATAAATTATTTATAAAATGTTTTTATGTTTTATATCTTAATTTAAATCAACATAGTATAATTGTTTACATCTCCCATATATATTTAATACTTGTTTTTATGCTAATGTATCTATTAAAAATGTGAATCAACTACTGTATTAATAACTTGATGCAGAAACCTTCATGTCTGCAGGATGTGAAATACTGCTTAGCAATACAATCTTCCTCAAGTATTATCACAATATATGTATATATCATTATTTTGGTAGGGTGTTATACGGTACTTAGAAGAACGTGTGCAGCCGTTGGTGGTGCCTGCCATTCTGGAACATGAAGCCATTGCAGGAGTTCACCAACGGGCTCCGGGGGGAATGCGTGGACGTTTAGCCAGTGCAGATCGTGAGGCAGAGTCTCCTGTGGATGTTCAAAAAGCATTGGATGCCCTAGTAATGGAATTGTCCAGTATCAATCGCTGCCTGGCATTACATGGAGTTGATCCAGAACTTGTCGTACAAGTCTTCCGGCAGGTAAGCAACTTCTACTATCTGCACTCTCAACTTCAGTACAAAGAACAAAAATGCTGTAAACATGTGGAAATAATTTGTCTAGCTGCTACCAACATGAAGTTATTCCTATGAGCAGTCAGTACTCCACAAAAAAATATTTCTAGATTCTTCTTGCTTCAATATTGCTTAATTAACTCCCACAAAATTTTGAGGAAGAAAATTGCAATGACTGTTTTGCTTGACATTATTTTCTTCTTCGAAGTACGTCATCTCATGAGAGACATAACAAATCTTTGTTTAACGTCACTGGTATACCGTTTTATACAGTCAAACTGGATAAGCAAGAATTCAAAGAACCACAATATCTTTTTCAGTTATGGAGATTTTTAACTCAACTAAGTCTTTTGATTATGCAGGTATGGGAATGGCTTTTATCCCTTATAGAGATTTAAAAAATACAGCAAATGTGTTGTGATAAATATGTATGTATTGTATAGGTATTACAGTATTCATTAGAATTTGACATAGTTGCTTACTGAAAGAATACAAAATTCACACACTAATATTTACTTAAATAGATGCATTAATTTCTTCTGCATTTCTTGTTTTGCTTTTTGTATATGTTTTTCCTGTTCATTAATCTGTTCAAATTTTGTTTTATCAACAACCACAAAGTATTAAAAAAAACTGGTGGAGTGTCTCCAGTGCATTTAAAGCTTCTTGCTTCTTTAATGTTCTTTGCTTCTGCATCCAAAATCTGTGATCGGTCAGCTTCATCTTCAGTCGTTTCCGTCAGTACACATGCTCAAATCATGCTTAATGATATCATTGTTGGTGTGTTCTTTGACGGTAGCCACGTCACTGTCAATCTGTAGAAAGCCTTCAAAGATTGACATTAACATACTGGTTTCATGGAACACAAACTTGATCCATTCCTCATTGCTAGGTCCAATTTTAACCTCCGTTTCCTCTGGCAGAAAGTCTTAGTTTATCTGTACTAACCCAAAATGTTAAATATACGCTTGACTGTCGCTTTTAGAGGTACACAGAAGTAGCAGACTTGGTTATAGAGATCCGTGAAGGAAAAGCTACTTTCTCTTACAGAGGTTTCTGTTATCTCTTATAGAGGTTTTAGAGTGTTAAAATGATGGGTCCTCGCTTATAGTTTTTTCTCGCTTTCCCAGTTATTAAAATATGTGATGATGATTTTAATATTTACATTATTTTGTGCCATACATTTCACTTGTAACTATTAGTTTCAATTTCTGTTCTTGAAGTACATTGCATTGTTTTGTTTCAGCTTTTCTACTTCATATGTGCCTCTGCACTTAACAATTTATTGTTACGTAAAGATCTTTGTCATTGGGCAAAAGGAATGCAGATTCGATACAATCTGTCATATCTGGAACAATGGGCTCGTGATCAAAAATTACAGGATCCTATGGTTACCGATACATTACAGCCTATTGTACAAGCATCACAACTCTTACAAGCCCGTAAAACTGAAGAAGACATACAATCATTATGCGATATGTGCAATCAGTTATCTATGTTTCAGGTGAGTCGGTTTTAGAAAAAAGCCAACTGCTTAAGAATACTAAATTGTTCTTTTTCACTTATTTTTAACTAGTTGAAAATAATTTTGCATACTTTCGTAGTTTAAAATGTACCTTCTTTCTTTTTTTTTATTTCCATTCTTTTGTGATTAAAATACATAATTGGGTCTAGTCTTGCTAGAAATAGTAGAAATAAATACATATAAAACAAATGGTTGAATTGTCCATTTCTGGCATATAGTTTTTGTTGTAATTGTTATTTATTAGTGTGATTGTTATTGAATTCTGTTCATGAGAGTTGGGAATATCATTTCTATTTACTAATAAAGTATTGTAATTCACAGATAATCAAAATCTTGAACTTATACACTCCAGCAGATGATTGTGAACAACGAGTTCCTGTGCCATTCATTAGGAAAATTCAGAACAAGCTTCAAGAAAGACAAGAAAACTCCCAGCAGGTAAGCATAATAAGGGGGTAAAGTAGGACGAAGAAAGTGTTCACAAGGTGTTAAAAAAAACTTTAATGACAAAGTCATTTGTCAACCAGTTGCCTCAAATCTGAATTTGTATGGAGTATGAATGAAGTATATGAATGTATGTGATAAAGTATGAATCTTATGACTGAGATTTGTGTTCAATAATTGGAAAATTAAATGTAAATTGTATATTTAATAATATGATATGATTACAGAGTACATTATAACCATGGCTCACTTTCTTAGATTTTAACCTATTTTATTCCACACTTCTTAATGTCACTATTTTAATACACATACTCATTTCAGTAATTTCTGAGCCAAATACTACGTCTTAGTCAGGCTCAAAAACATTATTTGCTAATTGTTTTGGCTTGTAACTATGGCCTTCCATTCCTTTCTATTGTTCACTTTCACAGTTCAGTTTCTTATTTTCATTCTCTTAATATCATTGACATTATCTTTCCATCTTGTCTTCGGTCTTCCTTTAACTCTGGTTGTAATAGGGTTCCATCTGAGGACTTTTGATTCAGATTTTAGATTTATTTAGTCAAAAAACTGTATGTAACGTATAGGGGAGAAGAGAATCTCCACACGTTTTCTTGAGTTTCAGAATCCCTTCCCATCATTTTAACTATAAATAGTTTGTAAAATGAATAAAAGTTAAAAAAAAAAAATTTAAAATAATAATGATATTTTTAAAAAAAGCACGACATTTGAAAAACTAGACATTTTTGTTCCCAAGTTATAGAAAACTTATTTGTAAATGAACTGCAGATTTTATTTTCTGCATTACTAACAAAATAGTAACTCGCCCTTACCTCTACTCCTACCACTATAAGCAAAAGGAGAGTTCAACAAAATGTGCCCATAGTGAAGCTACATTTACGTCCAGAAGCAAAACAAGGGGCCATCTCAATATTTGCTCAATGGATCAGGAAATCTGAACAAAAACCTGATTAAGATGGGGATTCTTTACTAGCCTATCATCATTCATTTTGTAGACATGTTCCATCCAAATTAATCTTAAAGATCTGATATGATTAACAATATTTTTGTGTTTTATTAGGTTATCCAATTCTGTATTATATTTTATTTTCCAGATACCATTTAGTTGTGTAACAGGTCCAAAGATCCTCCTCAAAATCTTTAACCTTTGAATGTCAACTTCTCTGAAGACCCATGTTCTTCCTGCCTCTACTGGCAGTACTACTGCCTTATGGAGTCTTAACTTTGCACTTTTAAATATCAGTTTACTTCTAAAGAATGCTTGATTGGCAAAGCTTTATTAACAGCTACTATTCTTTCTTTAATTTCTTCTTCTATTTTATATTCAAACTTAAATATTTTAAGACATTCATTGATTTTAGTCCTGTGAATAGAATCAAAGGCGTGTGTTTAATCAAAGAATCTATTGAATAGGTTAATGTTATATGTAAGACATTTATCAAAAATTTGTCTTACTGTAAATATATTGTCTACAGTTGATCTGTATTTCCTAAATCTTGCTTGATGGTCACTCATTTGTTCTTCAACCATTTTACAGTCTATTGTTTAGAATTCTTGCAAAAGCTTTGTATGCAACAATTGATAAAGTTATCAGTCTGTAGTTACTGCAATTTTGTCTACCTCCCTTTGTAGATATGGGGCATATTATACCTTCTGTCCACTGTTCTGGAAGCTTTTCATTCACCCATGTCTCTTGCATTATTTTATGCAGTTCTTTTTTAATAGTCTTCTTCCATGCTTAATAAGTTCTGCCAGTAATTAGTTATGTAGTTGTCTGAGCCTGCTACCCTATTGGCTTTAAGATTATTTATAATATAATATACTTCATTATATGTTGGCGGCTCACATTCGTTGCAGTTTTCTACATTATCAACAGTAGTATTATTTGTTTTGTTCTCTATGTGAAGACTATATTCAGAATACTTTCAAAATATTCTTTCCATCTTTGCATCATTTACGTTTTCTATATTAGAACATTTCCTTGTGCATCCTCACATGGCATGAGGGTGAGATTATTTTGTTGCAGATTATATTTTAAATCGCCAAAAAACTATCTAGTTTTGTTTTTCTTGTAGCTCTGCTCAATTGATGTGAGTTTCTGATTTATCATTTTTTCTTTTTACAAATTTTATTTGCTTCCTTTCTTTCGAACAGGTAAAACTTGTACCGCTTCATCCCGCCATTCATTTTTTGGTCTTATTTTGCTTACCAAACTTTTCATTAGCAGTATCCACTAATTTTTATCCATTCCTTTTCAATATCATCCCAACGCTCATTGACATCTTTACTATCACTACCTACATTACTTGGGAATTTTTTTAGAGCGTCCGCTAGTTTCACTTTGTATTGTATGCTCTTGAGTTTTGAAAGGTCTTGCATATTAGCCTTATCCTATTTTGTTGTTCTTATAGACTTCTTTAGGTAGATCACATCTTCCACAATCTTTCCTTCTGCTATTAATTAGGACATGAGCAATTTGATTGACTGTTTGCTGGTCAAGTGTGACCCATGTGCCTTTATTATGTTGAAATTACATGCTAACAACTTCAAGATCTTTAAATGCAGCTAAAGTGCATAGCATTTCACCATTCTCATTTGTAATTTCATGCAATGTGTATTTACCTGCTATATTTTTATACATTGCTTCTTTTCTAACTTTTGCATTGAAATTGCCCAGCATGAATAGAATATCACTCTTTAGAGTTTGATCAATTATTCTTTGTAGGGTTTCATAGAACTGTTCTTTAATTTAATATTCATTACTAGGCACACATTAATAAATAATTATTGTAACATTAAATTTACCTTTGAGCCTTAACTTGTATAATCTTTAATTTACTGGGCTAAAGTTTATAATATTTCAGCATATTAATCATAATTAAAAATCCCATTCCTGCTTGTCCTCCATTCCTTTATAATAAAATACAAAACTATATTTTTTAAGAAAGCCATTACCACTTAATCTTGTTTCTTGAATTGCTACTATTTCTAGTTGTGTCTTCCCAGTTTTTTCTGTAAGTTCTTGTTGCTTTCCAGGTTGTAATAACGTTCTAACATTCCATGATCCAATATTCATTATCATATTCTTCTGCTTTGGTCGTTTCCTTGATTTACTTTCCTGAGGCTGTTCATTGAACTTTCTAGCAGTGTGTAAATGTTTTCCAGGAGATGGGAGCTGAGCCAAATATATAAATCCTAAAAACAACTAAAATAAGTTATGTTCCTAAAGCACACTAAATTGGAATATTAAAAAAAATCCAAAGTTGGCTTAAGGGAATGTCGCCTTCAGACAATCCATATATGTAAATCATTCCCCATGCAAATAATAAAGCAAGAATAACACTTTATTTTCCACAAATTAATCCTTGGATCAATTCAACCAACACTATTATATAAACTATCCCAGTTACATTTTCAAGAAATAATATATTTATCTGGGTTGATCAGAATATTAAATTGGCTGGGACTGAGCATCTAATGTTGTTGACTTTATTACTACTAATTGGCTTAATATTAATTTCTTGCCAAAATTAAAAGATGTGTATCTTCTATTAACCCAAGTGATAAACATCATTTAATCTGTTCCATGGAAGGAAGTACCAGTGACTATAGGTGATGTATTTTTATCAAAGCTCCAAAAAATTCAACATAATTATGGTTAAGCAAAGATGAAATGTCCTTAGAGAGACAATAGGAAGTCCTTCACATGAGATATTTTTGGATTGTATACCGTTGTTCATTGCAACAGTGCCTCTTAAAGAAAGTGAATTTTGGTTTTGGATGCTAATTTGCAAGGAAATGTTTAAGAAATTGAAAAATCGTTCTTGAATTATTATAATTTTTTTTTTTTTTTTTTTAGGAAGTAAAAACATTCAACAAAATGAGTTGGTAATTAAGATTTGTTATTTATTGCAATAACTGTAGAGCTAACATAGAAAAAAAACCAACATAAATTCCTAAAATTTTAGGCTCTCTTTATAACAATTACACAGTGAGAGCTCCTTTGCAGTAGGCAAGGTAGGCAGTGTCTACCCTGATGAATACTAGTTTCTTACATTTTACTCAAAATAAAATTTAAATGACTTGTGGAAAGAAGTCAGGGCCTTTAAAAATACATTATAATAATAGTGCGTGAAGGGAGGGTTTGTTTTTAATCATGAACTTAGTGGTTTCTTCTTCCCTCATCATTTTTCAACCTATTAAAAGATTTTGAAAATTGAAAAATCAAACCAAATATCTTCAGCATTATAACAAAGCTAGTGGTTAAATGTTTTCTTTTGTCTTAAAAAAAAGCCCTTTATCAAGAAACTATTGAAAATCATGTTCTGCATAAAAGATATAAAGGCCCCCATGTAATTACAATATACACATTTTAGTGCACTCATGGATATAAATAATCTCAAGAGCCAGGTTTTTAGTTCCCTAATTGACAATCTTATTGATTATATCAAATATGGTATGCATTTTACCCTTTACTTATTTATAATGTATTTAATTGAAATTGTATTATCTTCAAACTGATGAGTTCTTTTAATAATATTTATTTTAATAAATATACAAAGGTGTATTGGAATAAATAACAATGTAACAGCTTGTGGGTGACATGAATTTTGTTTGCTAAATGGGCTGTGGCAAAAATGGATAATGGCAAACATGCAATATGCCCTTTATTATAAATAATTGTTAATATTAGATCTTGAAAATGCTGAGTATTTTTTCTAATATTGCTAATTTTATTCCAGACAACTCTACTTATGGATACCAAATTCAGTTTTCCAGTGAGATTTCCCTTCAATCCATCTAAAATTCGTTTGGAAGACATTGAAGTCCCAGAAGTATTGAATTTACCAATGCTGAAAAAGGTTTAGTTATTGTTATTTAAAATGTGTTAAATTTTGTAAATATGTGAAAGCTGTACCTTCCCTATAATAGCAAGAGTTACAGTACAGATGAAAATTGCCTGCAGGTGAAATAGAAAAGAAGGAACCATTAAAATTCCTGTTTGTGCTCAAGTTTAATGATAATTAATGAGCCTTTTATCTATAGGTTTACTTTGAGGAAAACAATTAGCAGAAAAATATTGAAATTTTTAATATTGGAATGTGTACATTCCTAAACTTGTTTGGTGCTTAATAATTAGAATTTTCTTTCATTGTACTGGATTTCTTTATCAAATTGCATTGTCATGAGTAAAGATACTAAAAGTAACAAATAAATATTACAATCCCACTTTTTTTTTTTTCCATTCTATAGTAGTTTGTTTTTGTGGTACAAACTATTTTTTGATAAATAGAAGTATGATATTCAAATTTCTGCAGGAATTAAAGCAGTATAAAACAGACTTTTTTCCTTAGTATATTTCTTTGGTTACTTACTCTTCCATAACGTAAGTAATAACATTCCATATATTTCATAAAGTAAATCTGCAATTTGAGTGGAGTATAATATTCTGGATGTAAATGTGTTAGGTTATAAAAACTTCCATGTAAATGAGTTATTGTTCTAATGAAAAATTACATGTGTAAATTTTCTTGTCAACTTCAATATAATATTTTTAGAATGAAGGCACATTAAATTGTATAAATTATTTTCTGTACCCTGTTTTTAATTATAATTTTGTAATTTATCTTTTGTCTTCCTGTGCATCTGTTTTTATTACTGTTTTCAATGTGCTGCAGAAATAACATGTTTATTTGTTGGGACATTTTCAGTGGACATTTTTAGTCGGTAATGTTCATTGAATCTCTCTCCACTCAGCATAAAAAAAATTAAATGCACAAAGTAAACTGAAACAATATTCTACTGCTTGTATGTGTTATTTAGTTTCTCAATCTTTCTTTTTCAAAAGCCATTTCTTCATTCACAGAATGAACCTCATAAAAATGTCTCACATTAGTCATTAATGTAGTAGAGTATTGTGTTCAATACATTTGTAAAATTCCTTATAAATTCTTTTACAGAAATGAAAATGACATTTGACAGCAAACTTCTCCTAAGTCGCTCCACAGATTTTAATGATTTTTGAGATATAAGTAGATGGCCTAGTTTAGGATCACAACATATCACTTTGATGGTCGTGTATCAACTTTCCAGGGATATAATTATAGATTGTTGAGTACTTGCCTGTTCACCGCAGGGAATGCAAAAAACAACCATTTACGTATTAAAATCTGTAGGTTGCCATACGCCTGCCAGAATGTATTTTGATGTTGAGTGTTTAGATTTGCTTATAATTTATGACAAAATGTCTAGAAGAAAAAGAAGTCCATGTGAAACCTTTATCTCAATAAATGTAATAATTATAAACACTTCAACCAGAAGCGAGTGTTCTAAAGACTTGCATGTTTTCAGAATATACATTCTAAATAAATTCTTAGACGTGAGTGTAGTTAACAACAACGTCTGTGAAACAAAAAGATTGGTTGAGATCATTTTGAAACACTGATCACAAACAAAATAGTTGTGAATCTTTTATTCAGGAAAGTCTGGAATCAACACAGCACTTTTACACGAGCACTTTTGAGTGGTTGGGTAGATTTAAATTCCATTCTTTGACCCCAGGGAAGTGGATGGGCAGTGCTTGTTGTATTACAAATATGTTGTGTTGACAGGATTCTTGTTGAGCATGCAAAATAGCTGTATTTGAGTGGGGAGAGCATTCTAAATATAGAATAACTTCAGTGTATTGATTGAAATTGTTTTAAAGTCAATTTGTGTTATTGTAAAACATGAAAGTGAAAAAACAGGAAACGAATTCACTACAGTTTTAATATCTGGTCATAATCCTTCAGTATTTGAATCAGTAAATCCATCATTTAAAATCCTGCATCTCTGTAAAATATTACAGCACAGTTTTGTGTTGGTACTATCAATGCAAAGTTTACAATGGTCAATTGAGTATAAACTACTGTTTGAAGGGTTAAAGTTTGTGGTGTAAGTGAAATTTTGCTTACATAGGAAGTAATGATTATTTTCAAATAATGATAGAAATAAAGGCTTTGTGATATCTTCTATTACCGAGGAAACTTACTTCACCTCTTTTACATTGTATCTAAATACTTTAATCATTAGGTTTCGGAAAAATGACTTACATCAATATGACTTTAACCCTCTATGGTGGAAATTCGTTTGACATACCTAGGGACATCAATGCTTTCAATAGAAAAGGAGTCCCTGATTGTATAAAGTATTATTTATTTTAATAAAGAATAAAATTATTAGTGATTCACTAGTATCAGCACAGTTTGCCTGAAGAATATGTATGTAAACTACAACTTAAAGAATACTTGAACCTTATAAATGCAACCAGTATAATCAAAGTTTTAAATCACTGTTTGCTGACTGGATGTTGTTAAATCTGTAGTAGATCTAATATATTTTATCTACCATAAAAAAAAAGTGTGTATGAAGTCGCATACTAAAGAAAGCTTTATTGGCATAGTTGAGGAGTCTTGGCGCAATGTGATATCTATTTAATATTTATTTTTCATTTAATTATTTATTATTAAATAATAAGCGACATTATTAAATTATTATTACTATTATTTAATAATGAAAGTAGAGTGTACTGCATAGATAAAGATTTCACGTAGATGGTTAAATTAAATGTATTAATTATATTTTGTTTACTCACGGTCTGTGATGATATTGGTGAATCTTTCCTAGTGCGATTTATTAAAGATCGTATCTTACAAGGTACTCAACAGAAGTTCAAAAATGTTGAAAAGGATATGTATGTAGCCTGCAAAGCCATGCAGCACCCTTGAAAAATGTTTTCTTGATTACTGTAACTATACTGGCATGCACAACAACCTTAGGATCTTGGGTCAGTTGCATTACTTCATAGCATTTTTCTCTTAAGTTGTTGGTAATGAACATCTCACTTCTTAAGAATACATATTAATTTTTCAAGTGTGAGTGCCCCATAGACATTTCTGGTCTTGAGTATGATTCTTGCCTAATGTAACAATTGTCTTTTCTCAAAATTTGACCTTGTATTTTTTATTTCTACAGTTATCCATATTTACTTTCTTGCTTCATTTTATTGAACTATGCATTCATCCATACGAATAACCGATCAATTTTATAATTTCTTAAGTTTGAACATGCTCTTGAAATGTGGTTGTTGTGTTTTGGTTGTTTTTTCCCTTTCTTAAATCCTTGGAATCTTTCTTTACATAAGAGAGATACAAGTTTATCTAAAGTGGGAGAGACTGAAGGAAATGGAAAGTCACACATTAAATTAATTTATTTTTCAATTCGGATAATGAATTAACTAATGATTCTGAATAATATACAAAATTGTAAGATAAATGCTGTTATGCTTTCCTGTTATTTTTAGCTGCATTAACATAATGCTCAGACTTCTAAGGCTCATAAATGGTTTGGTATGTTAATACTTTGTTTGTATTGGTTGCATTTATAAATATCGGGCTTAACTTTCAGATGACAGGTTTCCATATATGCTGAGTCTTCACAAACAACTAGGCAATGACAAAGAAATTGTATGAACTTGTATATGTTATCATTATGTATTAAAGTTACTTGTAAGAGGTCTCTGAAGAGGCAACTCATCCTGCAAGAGACATGTTGTAGATATGTATTGTTGTAAAAATTTAATTAAGAAACATTCCACATTTGTGACATAAGAATGTACATTTCTGTGCCATTTAAAGAGATTTAACTAAATGTTAAAGTGTTGTTTTGATTCTTTTAATTTCTGTGATGAAATGAACACTTTCCGTTCCTTGTTCTTATATCCATTATAGTAATTTTATTTACTGAGAGTGTTTTTTATGTGAGGGGTCTCTAAAAGGCAAATTGTATTAATGCTGGCTTCACTCTTAGTCTTTGAAGACCTCTCAAGGTCTTATTGTAGTTTTAACTCGAAGACCAGATTAGATCAGAAAGAAATTCCCATTGCCCTGTTTCTTCATTTATCAAAAGCATTTGCTTGTGTATTGATAATCACATACTATTATCAAAAATTGAAACTAGGAATTTGAGGCATTGTATATCAGTGGGTTGAATCTAATCTTTAAAATTGTTACCAGGTAGTTACAATCCAGCATGAATAGATAAAAAGATTTTGACCAAATCCTCTTAACTTACAATGATAAATTATGGAGTACCGCAAAGACCAATCCTAGAACCTATTGCTTTACAGAAATCTTATGATATGCTTCTGACTACAAAAAGAAGCACCAGCAGTTCCAGAGGCACTAGTCGAACGGTTCAAAGAAAAAACTTATCATAAACACTTGTAAAACTATCTAAACTTCAGGATTTACTCTTTAAAGAAAAGCCACCAGCCCAATTGGTCAGTAAAATTATACTTAAAATAATAGGCCGAAGAATAACTTTCCTTTCTAGATAATCGAAAATGGAACTCTCACATTACAGACCTAAATAATAAGCTCGCAAAGTCATGTTTTGCCATATACATCCTTAAGTCAGATTTTAACTTGGATACATTACAGACAGTGCATTTTGCAAGTGTTTTTTCACATCTAAAATGTGGAATCTATTCTGGGGGGATTCTCCAAAAAGTATGCACATTTTCATAATCCAAAAACGAATATTGAGGAAGTTAACAAACCTGCACAAGCATGAGTCCTGTAAACAACTACTCAGAAAGTTAAAATCCTACCACTACCTTTCATGTGTAACATTGAACATTCCAGCTTCACCATCTTGTCCTCAATTGATCAGCTTTTTTTCTTGTGGAAGATCTATGATTCAGGATGTAGAAGATTCTTCCTGGTGCCACACACTACAGATGTTGCTTCCATTTTGTTCCACCATCAGTTGCAATTTCTCGTATTGGTTGCACCCATACTTATTTTGTCATTAAACCTTTTACTTAGTAAAATGTTATTTGCACTTCTTTCTAATTTTCCCTTTAAGAGATCATCATATAGTTCCACAATTCTTTGGATGTTATTTATTTTTTAGGTAATAATTTCCTCATAAATAATATCACATTCTAAATATTTGAACTGTGATATTTGTTCGATATTTTGAAGGTCATTTTTGTTCCAATCAGATCTTACCCTAGGAACACCATTATTTTGGTCTTTGGTATGGAAATTTTTAAATTGTAGTTAACAGAAAACAGATTTAGTTTGTAGATAGCCAATTGCAATTTATCTTCCGTATCTTGAATGATAACCTGGTCATCAGCAAATAGGATGTCATAGTGTTAAGAAATTCACGTTGATTGATTTTTATACCTGGAGAAGCAGTTTCTTTTCATTCTCTTACTGTTGTCTCTGTAAATGTTTAATAAAGCAGGTGATAACATGCATCCCTGCGTCATTCCTTGGTTGGTTGTGATTTGTATTATTGACTTTTTCGATGCCAGTAACAATCATAATTTTGGTATATTTTTACAGAGTTTGTATTGTTCGGATTAAATGAATTTTATATCCTCTTTATTATCACCCAAAGTTTTTCCCTGTGGATGCAGTCAAATATTCACAATCAATGAAAGGTAGGTGTCTAAATTAAATTTTCTGTATGTTTGTATTATATGTTTTAAGCTGAAAATATCAATAGCAGATTGTCTTTTGCAAAGCCCAGCTTGTTCTTCTAGGAGTAGGCTTTCTGAGGTAAGTGAAAGTCTTTTGTTGATAGTTTTGCTACGTATTTTATAAGCAGCACACAGCAGACTGATACCTCTTTAATTTTCTGTTTTGTTGTATTCTCCTTTCTTTAATAGAGATAAAGTCCACAGTTCTCCATTCGTTTGGGACTTCATAATTAAACCAGCACAAATTTAATAGATGTAGCATGTGTCACTGTAGGACGATGCCTCCTAATGATTGAGTTTATATTTTCTAATCTGGATGACTTTCTATTATTGTTCTCTTCAAAGCATATTGAAGTTCCTCCATTTCAATAGAGTCCAGTCCAGAAGATGTTTGAAAATTGTTAAAAGTTAACATTTCAAAAGTACAAAATAAGATGGACAGGTTTTTGTACTTAAACCTGTTCTAAAAAATAGTCATGTTTTTGAAAACTAGTATTTCGCATAATTTCTGCTTGAAATTCAAATTATAAATTTTTTTCTCAAAAGACACTCCAAATGTTTTTTCCACGGATTAAATAAGGGACTGTTAAAAGAATGGCAAGTGTACCGCATCTCATGAAAGATATTTCAGCCATAGTTGTACTTAAAAGTGAAGGCCTCTACCCACGGGTCAACTAGTCGGACCGGTCACCGGGACAACGAAATTGGACTCTCGGCTACACATTGTCCAACCAACAACCCGATTTTTCAGTAGTGCTCGGAAGTTTGAGAAGGCAACATCTATGCTAGCAAGACAGTGCGACCTCAAAAATCTGGCCAAAATGAAATAAAAAATCCTATTTAGAGATGTTTATGTTCACTATAGTTTACCCATGTAGTCATAGATTTAAAATGCAGACGAGGAACACATCTTTTGAATTCATCTTTAGAGCCCAGTTCGAAAGCTAACTACGTGCGACCGTGCTCTAGTAGGGCAGCGAAAAATACCAGCAGGTTATTAACATTTTTGACAAAGTTTTTGTAAAAATATAACACGAGTTAAAATAAAAGATTTAGTCCAAGTGAATACTGAGTATTATGTTACTTACTGAAGTGAAAAAAATGAATGAGAAATTCTAAACAAAACGTGTTATAGTAGGTCTACATAATATTTTTACAGTCAAATTTGCAGTTTTCTTATTACGTATTATCTTTCAAAATAACAAAAGTTGCTGCATCTCGCTCTAACTGCATTGCTCATTGCTGGCCCGTGTTTGAATAAAGGAGTTTTTAAGCCGTTTGATAATGATTTTCTCATGTTATTGTATGTCATTTCTACAATTTATAAATAAAAACAATTGATTTTCTTTATGTTGCGATCATTCTCGTAATTATTGTCAACATTCGCTTACATTACCGATTTTCAAAAGAAATTTGCATTTAAAAATTGTTCTTTTCTGCCAAATTTGATTCGTAATTTTATTTCTTGAAATTATCGACTTCATATTCGTAATCAGCGACCTCCAAAACCCCCAAGTACCAAAAAACTTTCTACTGAAACAACTGTTCCACATTTGAGCCAGCGTTTTGAGGTCTAGAAACGCTGTAAGTTGGTCCAACACTTCTACACACTACACAATTTGTCTGGCAGTATGGTAGGGGAATCGGCGGTCGGGTGCCCAACAAAATTTCTGTTGGACAACTTGCCTCCACAATGATGATGACCTTGATGCAATTTGTCGGATTGACTCGGTCGTCCCGACAAAATTGGTACGTGTGTAGGGGCCTTAAAACGTACACATTATGGGCGTGTTTGAATTCTGGGGTATTAATTGTACTTATCAAGATTGGTTGCGTAGGCTTCCTCGGCCGAAGTTTTATGTTGGCTAGACTATCCGGGACGAGCCGCGTCAATGTCATGGTGGCTAACGTTTCGGCCAGCGTATTGTGGCCTTCTTCAGAGCGTACAGCTGTACGGATAGCCTAGCCAACACTTATCAAGATTACTGGAATATAATTTCTTTTCGTCAAGACTTCGTGAGGAATAGCTCCAAAACAGCCTGTTTATGAAGATCTTTATGATATTTAGAAAGTAACTGCTTCTAAATCGACTACATTGACAGCGAAGATAAGACTTTCTTGGCCTGTAGTTGACCTGTAGTGAGATTTAATTCTATTGAAGGTGGGAAATGACCGTTCAACTGAAGTTGTGCTTAATGGTACAGTTAAAACTACACATGCTAATTTGTATACTTCCGGCAGGGCCCACATCAAGTTTCTCTCCTTCATGATTTTTACAATCTGGCAGATTTCCCTTGAAAATCTCATCTTGGGGCAAGTACCCAGCACTCAATTCATTTTTCAGGCGTATTGAACTAAAGTATGAATCATAGGATTTCAAACGTTTTGATAAAAGCTGATCAGGAAAAGATGCTTTGTACTCCATAAATTTTGAGGAATCAAGAAGGGCAATGAAACAAACTTTTAAAATCGAAAAATGTATTTCTTTTCTGATTAAGTGCATTGTCTAAAATCTCATTGACGCCCACGTACTTTTCTTAAATTTACCAAATTTGTCCACGTAACGCAAAATGGTAGAGAGCAGCGATTTTGTTAAATTATGTCTGAGTACTCGTCTCGAGCAATAGTCACAAAATTTGCGAGGCAAGTTCCTTTGTAATTGTATGTATCATAACATCTCTTACAGTTTCGAATAAATAGTTCTGGATAGCAAATGAAGTACGCTTGAAAACTGTTGCGTTTGCAAATAATTTAGGAGTTGGTCACATGTGTTGATTAAAGCTAGTATTTCCTCTATTAAACGATGTTTCTCATTCATTTCGTTTCCTAAAAGCTTGTTCTTGCTTTTTTTAAAAATTGTTACGACTGGACTCAACGCGTCTCAGCTTTCTTAAGGAGCGTTGAGCGCACTATGGAGTTAACATTTACAATTGGAGTAACCATCCATTTAAGCGCTCTCTACGGGCCGCAGAGTAGTCGTAGTCACGTCAGGGAATCGCCGACAGGTAGTGTCTTCGCGCTCGCGTTTCGCACGCGCCCTGCGACATTTACCAATCGGCCAGAATTGGGAAGGAATGAGGATAGGGCTAAGGTTTAGGGCGCT